TTTTGCATTTTTTGTTTTGCTCGTTTTGTTCGTTGCGTTTTTGGCTGCTGTCGCTGCGCCGCCAACGCCGACATCAACGCTCTCTCGCTGTCTCTCTCGCAACGTCACTCGCTCGGGCGCGCTCTTAACTGCAAGAGGCCAATTGCAGTTGAGAGAGCCAGCGCCAGTGAGAGTGAGAGAGTGAGTCAAGTCGAGTCGAGTTGAGCCGAGCCGAGCGCTGTGTGTGTTTATGTTGCGCGCTCCTTTAGCAACATGTTGCGCGCAACATGCTTGCATTTATTTTAATTAGATGCGTGTGGCATGTGGACAGCTGAATGGGCAGCCAAAAATGAAATGGTATGTGAGAGGCCAGAGGGAGAGCGAGAGGGAGAGCGAGAGAGGGAGAGAGGGAGAGCGAGGCAGAGTGAGTGCGAAGCGGAGTTAGCCAGGCAATGCTAATGAACTGACGCCATGAAAGCTGTTCAGATGCAACGACAAGGGTCAGGGGCGGCTTGCTAGAGGGGGGCGGGGGCAGGCAAGGACTTGCCAAGAAATAATATTTTCATAGTCGTCGCTGTGGTGAAAAAAGCGAAAGCAGCCCAAGCAGCCAGCCAAGTGCGAGTGCCACAGAAATTAGGAGAAAAACAACTTTGCGCTGCTGCGAGACAGACAGAGAGAGAGAGAGAGAGAGAGAGAGAGAGAGAGAGAGAGAGAGAGGGAGAGTATGTGGGCGAGATATTTGTCTCAAGGCTGCAGATGCAACCAAATGCGGCACAAACAACTGAAATGGGACAAAGTAATGGCGCTACTTGAGCCACCGCCACAGACAATAAATATGCCCCAAACTAGCTACCCTAAAACAACCCCCCTCACCACACACACACACACACTCCCAAACCCCTTTCAGCCAAAAGAAAGCTCATAAAAGTAGAAGTAGAACTAAAAATCTACTTGTAACCCAATTTAAATAAACTTTCCTAGTCAATTTAGAGTAAATAGCAGCTATAAAGAAAGAGAGAGAGAGAGAGAGACAGCTATAGAGGTATACAAATATCTCTCCTGATCTTAGCTGGGTATATGTGCAATATTATTTGAGGTTATGTCGGAACTTTAGAGTTAACTGTGAGAATATTGGGAGAGAACAATAGTAACTACTAGATATAGCAAAATATTGAGTTACATTAGGTTATGCTGGCCAATGTGAGGTTATGTTGGAGCATGTGACTCTATGTTGAGCTATATAAGAATATGTATCTAGAACTACGTTGAGGTTATGTTAACAAATTCGAGATTGGGCTGAAATGTACGAATATATGGAAATATATTGGGATTCTTTGATATTCTACTACGATGTGTGAGCTTATAATGAAATATGTGAGGTTATGTTGCAGTTAGTTTGAAATAAGAGCGCTTGATAATCGAACAGGGAGGAGGTCTTTTATTACAATTTATTTATTTATTTATATTTAT